TAATAATGGATTTCTCGACAGCAATTGGCAATTCTAGGTGGAGGTCACAGAGATGTTATCTTAAGCTTTGTTCTTTGATGTATTTTAAGTTTAATTTATAAGACACATTTAATACATTCAGAGGGTTTCCTTTGGGTGCACATTATGAATTTTTGAAAGTAAAAATTTAGGATAAAAAACTCTAGGGATATTTTTCCTTATCAGTTTCACTTCGTACAAAGGACTAATTATTTAGTCCTTTGCTGAAAAAGAATGCACAGATGGAGAAGTATCCTTTTGATGTATGAAGTACAAAAGTTAATTTTGTAACTGAATTTACCTTGTTTTGTATTTTAGGCTAGAATTTGAATCCAGATCCCTGCAGGAAAATACCTGATAAACTCAGTGTTCCACAGGGTCTTTTGTACTCTCATGAGTTAAAATAAAATGTATTTTTTAAAAATCTAAAAAAAAAATAAATAAATAATAGTAATAATAATGGATTTCTCAATTCTCTTGAAGTGTATTTGCTTTCTTTTTCTTTTGGCTTTATTTAGAATTGTTCTGTCTTGCCTGGTGAATTGAACCTTTTATGATCATGTAGTGACTTTATGTCTGTGAATGCTTGTGCCTTTGTCTTTTTTGTTGTTGTTACTTACTACACCAGTATTTTGGTTAGTTTTTGGTATTATCTTTACATCTTTCTTTGGCCTTATATTTTGAGTTTGCAGGAGATACACCTAAAAGATAAAGCCAAAGATAATCTGTCTTTTTAACTATTTGATTTATTTATATAAATATAAATAGAAAGTTTAGTCTATTTATATTTATTGCGATTATAAATACAGTTAGATATATTTCTAGATCTTCATCATAAATTATGTCCTTTTTTTTTTGCTTTTTGTCTTTTTTCGTGTCCGGCAACGGATCGCAACCCTCAGTGTCGCGCCCGTACTGGACCGGGACCGGCAACGGGATTGCAAACCTCGGTGCTGTGCCTGCACCTCGCTCAGCCAGTGAGCGGGAACCGGTCTGTATGTGGGATCCGAACCCTCGGCGGGAGCGCCGCCACGCTCTCAAGCAGCGCACTGTAGCAGTGCGCCACCGGGCCGGCCCCATAAATTATGTCCTTTTAAAAAAAATTTATTCTCCACTTCTTGCCTTGTCCTTTTTCTTTCTTTTTCCCTTCTCTATTTGTTCGGTTTTGATTTTCAATTCTTATCTGTTTTTTTTCTTACAAGTTCTGTTTGGTTTACAAGTCACCTTGTTTGTCTTCATGTAATCTTTTCCATGATTCTGTTTCTTAAAACATCATTAATTTTTCATGTGTTAATAACAATATCGAGCCTTTGTGGATGATTCTGTCATCTGTTGTATATTTTGTTTTTCACTCATGGTGATAATCTCCCTTGGGTTTGTGATATCTTATTTTCCTTGGCAAATAAGAATGATTTGAAGCATGGATTGAAATTGAGATCCTTGAGAGAGAGAACTTGTTTGCCCTGCCAGATACTCAGGGGCATCCAACCTGAGGCCACTTTAAATTATCAGCTTGATGGTTCTGTGATTTCAGATAACAAACCTTGAGAAATGGCCTGTGGTTATGATTTGAGAGTGTTGGCGATTTATCTCCCTCCACCCAAAGTTGGGACAGACAAGCTTCCTTGATGCCCACTTCTCTACAGTGGCCCAATTAAGACTCCAGCCTAGGTTAAGACCCTAGGCTTCATGTCCAGGCCCCCGCTACTGCTAGTTCAAGGTCTCCAGAGTTCAGAATTCTGACAGCAAAAGCAGGCTTTGGTGCTGGCTTACCTCACAGCTTTCCTATTTTTACTTCATTTTCGGAGTCCTGCAAATTCCTTGCCTTAACATCAACTCAGTGATACATTTAAATTGATATCTTATACTATTTAATTTTCTATTATTTTACATATTTCTTATATGTTATTCAGCATCTGAGGTTTTTTACCTGGGAGTTATTAGAGTACTAGGCTGTTTTACTCTTTGAAGTGAAGCCTAGATTAAAATTTTAGTTTGCCCCTGATATGGATAGGAAACACAGTACTTTGCAGTATACATAGAATTATAGGATGCCTAGTTCTCTTTTTGTACTGTCCTGCAAGATAGCGCTTTTATGGTGTGAGGACTGCTTCCAAGGTTGGAAATGTACAGAAAGAAATCATGTTTTAAAGAAATACTCTTCCTCCAAAGTAATGAATAGCTCTGCCGTTTCCTTAAGTAGCCTAAATATGTCTCCTTTGTGTTCTTTGAATAGTGATTGCTTTGGTCTGAAAAAAGGATTTGGATTTGGTTTGTTAAACCTAGGATTGGGGATTATATATGCATGAATGAGACTCCTGCTTCCTTGGCATACCTGTCCTGGCTGAAAGGCACTTTGTTACAACTAGTCTTTGCCCAGCAACTTGTTTTCAACCAATTTTCCAGTGTTCAAAGTTCAAAAGTATCTTTCATTCACATGTACTCTGAAATTGAGCTCTGGAAAATAGGTGCAAAAGTAAGACACAAACCTGTTACTGTTTGCTCTTAAAGGACAATCAAAGAAAACCTAAGTTCTACCTTTAAAAGGCAAAAAGTTTATGAGTGTAAGAATTTTTGTAACTTTAGTGTATTCTTGTGGAAGATGGAAGAATTACTTGTTAATGTGTAATTTGCATCCCTAAAACTAGTGTATGGCCATTAAGTTTCTACAGACAGTGCAGCACATATTTTACTGATTTTATCCTTTGGCACAATTGTTCGCATTAACTTTGGCAAAGGAATTGTCATAACACATTGTCTTGCACAGGTATCTATTTAATATGCAGTACAAAAGGAAACAGTCTCTGGAGTAAGGTCAGGGAAAGCTGTAACTGTACTACTAGGCAAGCTTTGTCTTTAAAAGCAATAGCTGGAGGGCTGGCCCGTGGCTCACTCGGGAGAGTGCGGTGCTGATGACACCAAGGCCCCAGGTTCGGATCCTATATAGGGATGGCTGGTTTGCTCACTGGCTGAGCGTGGTGCTGACAACACCAGGCCAAGGGTTAAGATCCCCTTACAGGTCATCTTTTAAAAAACAAACAAACAAAAAAGCAATAGCCGGAGGCCAGAGAAATGAATCCATCCCAGTGCCATCTGTGGACAACATTTGAAGGGATTCTGCCTTATGGTTTAACAAATCCTTAAAATCAGGTACAAAAGAGGAACATAGTCTTGAAAGAAATAGCTAAGGGGGCTGGCCGGTTAGTTCAGTTGGTTAGAGCGTGGTGCTGATAACACCAAGGTCTAGAATTTGATTCCTGTACCAGCCAGCTACACACACACACACACACACACACACACACACACAAAGAAATACCTAAAGGGCTATAGCAGCCACCATGTAGGCTATGTTACACAACTGCTCAGTTTTGGGTGGTGGTATTTTCTATATTTGGTGTTTAGTACAAAGTTTTTACAAATGTTTGAAAAGCTTTCCTTATGAAGTTTAAGCTGAGACCTAAAGGATAAGTGGGACTTAGGCAGATAGAAGTATATGTGTCTAAGGCCATCGCAGGAGGATTTGGGGGGTCAGGGGTGGGGGGAAATAACTTGGCACAAGGAGCTATGAGATCAGTGTGGCTGGAGAACAGCAAGCAAGAGGGAGCTAAACTTGGCGATGTAATCAAAGGTAACATCTCCAGCTCTAAAAGATATGCTAAATTAAAACTGAATATTTTTCAGACTGTATAGGACAGTTCTTTGAAAAACAGTTAGTGTTGTTCCATTTTTTATGCATGAGCACACCATATATATGACAATATAAGTTTAAGGTCAAAATATACAAATTATTAACTTACATAAATTAATATGTTGCCTAATTCAGGGAGACCAAAAATATACATTTAAAATAGACTAGTTTTTGGTATGGACCTTACCTAATATCACTTATTTGAGTGACTCAAAGTATATTTTATCACATAAAACAGCAGGTATCATCTTATTTTGGATTGTTGAGACAACAACTCTCCCTAAGAGAAATTTTTTTTTAAAAAAAATCTTACATTGCAAGATTTCATTCTTTGCAAATGGTAGAAACTATTTATTTTCATTTTTCATGCCTAATTGCTGCTGCTGTAGAAATCCTTTCAGTTGGGCCCTCATAACTATGTTCACTTAAAATGATTAAAGGTAACTTGTATTCCTTTAACCCACTAAGGCAATCCAGAAAACAGGCAATAAGGCATGTTTTTGAAGAAAGGAAGACACTGCATAGATATTACACTGTAGGAGGAAAAGAAATACAAATAGTTTTAAACACCATCATATCAAAATATATGACATAGGAAGGAAGGTAGGATTTTCAAAATCTTTTCTGAACTGAAGCATAACCTCTCTGTTATGAGGTAGGGAGGGTAAACAGAAGCTAATAAATTCCTTGCTTCTACCTACGGCTTAGTCACTGAAATCCATTTCTCTCTTAGATACTTGTAAAGGCAGTATTTACACAATTATAAAAAACATTTGTAGGTTAACATAGGAACTTACATACTTAAGAAGTTCCAGGGGAGAAAACATGGCATTAAATTAAATGTAACATAGGCCAAGTAAGATGCCAACACTGAGTCTCACACACATTGAATGTCAATTTTCTTTCCCATAAGAGTATGAAGGCCGTATAACCCAAAATTGGTCTGATTTTTACCTAGTCTGAAGTTTTAGTTAGTATTACTAGCAAATTATTAAGTTTAGAAATTTGTTTTGGAATATACTGATTTAAATTTTTAAATTGTTGAAATCCTTTTTTAACCTTGATTCTTTACTCAAACATAATCTTTAAATTAATTTTAGAGAAAGAATCTGATACCACAAACCAAGGTTTTTATCAGGTATATAGAGACATACTGCCAGGATCAAATGGAAGATATTTCAAAAATCCACCCACATGTAAGTATCAAAAGCCTTAGAATTTTGTATTTCTCGTAACCCAGCAATTCTACTTCTAAGATTTTATTTTAAGAAAACAGCCATGGATGTACACAAGATTCAGTGAAGTGTTGTTTATAACTGTGAAAAGATGTAAATAGTCAAAATATCCAATAGGGAATTAAATAAATTATGGTTCAGTCATACAGCAGAATAATAAACCAATAAAAATGATACAGAAGACTATGCATGACCTAGGAAAGATGTTCACAATATATTGTTAAGTGAAAAAAGCAGGTTACAAAACAGTATGTACAATATGAGCCCATTTTTATAAAAATATACATATCTGGCAAAGTAAAAGGACAAATGATATTTATCAAAATATTAACATTAGTTATTTCAACATAGTAGAATGATAGTTGTTTTTGCTTAACCCCCCTTCCCCTTTTTCCTATTTTAATTTTCAATAATGAAGGTTATTTGTTAAATGGGGTATGGGGGTGAGGGAATTATTGACTTCAGATTAGTCCAAATGTGTCCCCAAAGGCTCTTTCTGGCAACATAAATGCTTCTGTTCAGCCTGTTATCTGGGAACTTGCTTCTACCTTATAAATTTGAGTGTCCTTCAAAGATGATGTTCACTCAAACTTCCCTTTAGGCAAAACTATACAATAGCAATTTTTGATATTAAAAAAATTTTTTAAGCGCTCAAGTTAATTATCACCAAAAAGAATAGATGAGAAAATACAAATCCTCACTTTAAAAAAGGAACAACCCGAGTACATACCACTAAATTATACAGTTACATTATCTAAGTTTAGTTTATTGCAAAGATCAAGACAGCACGCTAGAAGTTGGCAACTTCTATTTAAGACCATTCACAGCACTCACTCTATTCTCTATTTCATTCACTCACCCGTGAAAAAGGTCTGTACACACAATGATGTCCAACATTTCTTGGTTCTCATAGTATAACAGGAAACTTGGCATTTCAATTAAAAAGGTAAAATGAGGACATTTGCCATTAGACTATAAAATTTCTCTTCCGGAAGAGGATACTATAGTGCTTGAAGATATGCTTTGAAAAAATCATATACCAAATGAAAGGGGCACCATTTCAAGAGCACTAGGACTACATTAAACTTAAATGAATTCCAACACTCCTAATAATGTAAAAGCTCCAATAACTAAAATTACGTTAACAGGCACAATGAACAGTGTAAACACTGTTAATGGGCACCAAGTTTAATAGGGCAGATAATATGTGCTTCTGCATTCACAATTATTCATTTACATTTTTTTAAAAAATGGTGCTGCTTAAGCTGTGAATATTTTACCAAAAAAATTAATTTTAATAAATACGGCAAATGCTAAAAATCTAGCTAGGTTATCATGCAAGATTATATAACCAAGACAAACTTAAATTTATAATAAAGGCAACTTGCATTCAAAATGAACTCTACCCTTATATTTTATTAAAAGGGCAAACATCATGAATTAACCCAGCTGCTTACTTGAATTACAAAAGTAACATGATTCAATATGAAAATAAGAAACTGTCTACAAATCTCTGACAGTAATAAATTGCAATATACAATGCATACAGGAGTCATACAGAGCAACAAACTCTTGTACAAAACAAAAATATTTTAATACCTTTAAAATCGAAAATTTTCTTTAAAATCATTCATGAAAAAGATTCTCAAGTCAGAATTAACACCTCAATTAGTCAAGCATCAGGAAGCTACATTACAGTTATTTAATATACAAAGAGACATCTTTTCACCATTCATTTCCTTCTAATGTCTCTGTTCCATAATCATACAGACTCTCGCTTCTGTACATTCCCCATTCCATCATTCTTCAGATCATGAAAACTGAATTTGCTGAACACCAGAAATCTAAGATTAGAAATTTAAATGGAATGGAATTAAAGAAAAAATAATTTTAAACTAACATATGCATATTGTAAATATTCAGTGACAAAAAACAATAGACAATGAAAAATAAGTCTACTTCCCACCCCAGATTCTACTCTGTCTACCCAATGGAACTACATTAATTATTTCTTGTGTATCTTTCTAGAAGTCTATGCAAAAATAAACACATGTATATATTTTTAACCATTAAGAGAACACTATACAGTTATATATATTTTGAAAAAACAGAATTTTTAATAATCTTTATTTGATCAGGTCCTTAATAATAATAATATATTGAAATTAACTACCTGTGATAAAAATTAATGGATATAATCAATTTTTAAAATAGTTTAAAAGACAAAGGAGATACTGTACCTGTTGATACGATGTTGTGTAAACCATAACATTTTGTTGTTGACCATCTGCAGTTATTAAGCCAGCTGGTAACTGGTTAGCTATAAGACAAATAAAAAAAAAAAGAGGGAAAAGAATTGCATCTACTTATCTACTTTCTTGGCCTGAACTTCAAGGTTGTGCCATTAATGTCTCATTACAATTTGGCCACTTATCAATGCTGTAATCTTGGGCAAAATCATAAGCCTCCTAATTTTCCATTACAAAAAAAGTTGCCTAAAAAAGTATGTTTTTTCTACTGCATTTTTCAATTTTCTGAATCTTCATATCTCTGAAGTATACTTTAGTTAATTGCCCAAGTGTACAAATCTCAAGAAAGACTGGATGCAGTTTCTGGTTCATGGTTAGACCTACACCACACCTTGAGGCTTGGCTGGGAGCAACACTTACATAACTAAATCAGCATATATTTTACGTAAGAAATTTATATAAAATATATACACATATTTTATATGAGAAATATATGTAGCATAGACCTCTTATTTCACCAACATAACAATATGATAATCAATTTTTACAAAAGGAAACTTGAGTTCAAATTTATTTAAATCACAAGATTTTATATTACAAACTACAGTTCTCAATATTCCTATCTCACATGAATCTTCACCACAAACTAGGAACTATGGAAATGAGTCAGAACTATCTGTGAAAGGTTATAATATCTGCAGAATTAAAATTTTTTACACTTATCACTCACTTCAAATATAAAGGGATGAACTAATAAGAACTATTCAAAATAGTGCTGTCAAAATACTCAGTGCTGATATTCCAAAAACACTACTACAGGCATTTAGCATGAATCACTGCTAACAATCTACATAATTTGTATCATAACACTGCTTACTAAATGCCTCCTCCGTAAGCTCTTCACTTAGTCCATCTGTAGCTGTGACTGCTCCACCAATTCCTTTCTCTCCTTTCATAGCCTGGGGAAGGAAAACCAAAAAAACAAAACAAAATGAAAAAGGAGTCACTGGTATTCAAATGAAATTGTTTTCCAAATAAGAATGCTTACTTATTGCCTAAAATTTGGAGCTTCTATTATTATAAACACTAAACAGAGTATTTATTAACACTTAATTACATAGGAAGAGGCCCAACTTTTTATTTAAGCTACAAGACAGTGTTAGTAATGACCTAGAAAACTTAAAGTATATATGGATAAAAATAAATCATTCTAATTCCACCCCATATCAAAAGGATAAAAGAACTCTACTTACGGATGAAGTCTGCAAAATACCATAAATATTCAGCTTATAAATCTACAAATGATCCAAGTGATTATCACTTAATATATAGCTCTCAGCCAACTGAGCAGTACTCAGTTATAGCAGTAACTTTATATTTAAAAATTCCTAAATAAATATTATAGTTTGCACCAAAGACCACTAAGGTTCCATCCACTCTAAGGTTCTATGATACTGAAGATTTGAAAAAGTATTATGAAGAATTTATACATTCTCTTCCCACTTTAATCATTCCATGCAGACATTACTAATTTAATGGCATTCTAACATTAAAGGTATTAAGGATGTATCTTGAAAGCAATGTGAATCTGACACCCAAATTGGAGTGTGAAAATAAAGATGCTGACCTCAACTCATTTTCACAAAATTCATACCCATGGCGAAGATAAGCTTAATAGGAAGCACAGAAGAATTCAATCAGTAATAACAAAGAGCATGGGTATAACTTCCTCCATTTGTTATCTCAAAGGCCCCAAGCTTAGAGATATCTTTTTAAAATTAACAACAGCAAGCAGTAACATTTCATTGAACATTATTTACTTAGTCCTCTCAATAATTTTGTAACATAAGTCCTAGTAGCCTCACTTTACAGATGAGGAAACCAAGGCCTAAAGAACCTAAAATAACCTGCCCAGCATCATTGAGTTCACAAGTAGTAGAGCTAGGTTTCTGCGTCCAGGTGGTCCGAATCAGAACCTGTGCTCTTAATCATTACATAACTATGCAGTAGTTACTTATAAACAAAGGGGGGAAAAGGACTTACTACTCAAGTACTGTAATATAAGTGGCTAAATACTTCGCCTAAGAAAGGTTATATAATTCGTTACAAAATGAATATTTTTAAACGTATTTTTTTAAACAAATTTTTTAAGAAAACATTTTGAAAGTTAAAGTGAATAGTGTATCTTATTTTCTTAAAAGCATAATGGGAGACGTTTTACTTACTTCTCTGAATTTCTGAAGGTATAATTTCAGAGGTTCCACATAACTGTCAAAGCCTAGGGTAGACATAGCAAAGAGAATATCCTCTCCATTGATTGTCTTCCGTTTCTCCTGATGGCATCTTTCACTTGCTTCAGATGTTATAAAGCTGATAAACTCACTTACACATTCCTGAACACATTCTTTGGCATCTTTTGCAATCTGGAGAGAAAAATCCTAGGTAGATTTGCAGGGAATATAAGAATCACCTTCCTAACAATCTGCAAAAATGAAAGGCTATTCAGAAAAACACATCTTTAGTTTATGACTGTTAACCTTTAATCTCTGAAATATAAAGGCACTTGAAAAAGATAGGGAAAAACAGAATTAAAAGATAAAAATCTTCCCATGAACTTTCTGAAGACTGAGTATATGCTAATAACATCAATACAATGTGTGGTATCAAAATTCCAACCCTCCAAACTCGAATACAAGTGAGAAAAGCCTTGACAACTATTCACAGAAAACGGGTAGAATCTGGATATAAAAGAGCAAACACCACTGGATGTCCCTACCACCCCATATAAGATGAAAACTCTTACTAACCAAGTACCCCAGGAAAATCAATTCTGTCATATATATACTAAGTATACCGTGGGCTACAGACTTAGGTACCACTTCTCTACCCTAACATTTCCATGAATAAGGAAATAAAATACACCCAAAAATAAAAAACAAAACAAAAACTTGAAAACTGAATTCACGTTGTCTTAAACAAGAGTGAAATAATGAAAAACGGTAACTTTTTTACTTTTTTGCTACTGAGGATACAAAATGTCCAGTACAGATTTTGAGTTTACTAAAAAGACTGACTATTGTAAGACTTGAGCATAAAAAAAAGAAAAAAAAAAAAAAGCCTGCCTAAAGAATCACATGCCTGCCACCTCATTATAAAAACAATTCTTCCCTAATCAAGGGTTAAGATCCCCTTACCAGTCATCTTTAAAAAAAAAAAAAAAAAGGGTCTGAGGTCTGAAAGTGAGATTCTAATGGATTAATCATGCAAATCCAGAGCCACTTATAACAGGAACAACACTTAAAATCCTTGCTGAACATACTTTCACCTCCGTGGCTACTTTACATGCTGGAGAAAGTAAACAAGAGTTGCATAAATGCAGCCAAGCAAGATAGTATAATGTGAGCCATGTACATAATTTTAGATATTCGAGGCACTGTGTTAAAAAAAAAAAAGTGACATTCATTTTAATATTTTATTATACCCATGTATCCAAATTATTATCATTTAAGCAGAATCAATTTTAAAATGAGATAGTTTCATTCTTCATACTAAGTCTTCAAAATCTGGTGTTTTATATTTACAGCACATTTCAATTCAGACTAGCCACATTTCAAGTGCTCAGTGGCCACATGTGGCTAGAGGCTATGGTAGTCCTGGACACTGCAGACCTAGCCTATGTAAGCAATAATCAGCAGTTGCACTGTTTCCTCCTAAAAAGGTAAGGAGGACTTTTAAAATTGGAACTTCTAGGCTTAGTGGTGTATTTTAATAGTATTTTTATTTGTCAGGTTTATTACTTTCTTAAGTACTTTTATAAGCTACAATAAAATGATAGAAAAGGTTACTATGCAGTACAAAACAACATAAAAAATGTGAACTTTAATTTAAACCAAGTGATGAGTAGTGACAAGTTTTTAAAAGTTGTTCTAAAAAGGCAACATGATGGGCCGGCCCAGTGGCTCACTCGGGAGAGTGCGGTGCTGATAAAAAGGCAACATGACTTAAAAATCATACTAGTTGAAATGTATGGTAATATCTATAATTACATAAAAATAGTTGTTTCCAAATATCAGGATTTAAAAAAAAATTCTTACTATACCTACATCTGTCCAATATGACCTAACCTTGCTGTAACATTATAGAAGTTACAATTTCACATGCCCAAACCTGATAGTTCTGACAATGTATCTTAAAATAGGTAAAATATTCTTGATTATTCTTAAAAATAGTCTTGATTCTATTTTATCTTTCAATAAGTGGTGAAGAGGAGAGCATTTGGGGACATGGCAGAAATGAACATGGAACAATATATAGTAACCGAGTAGGTAGAAATGAAAGAAATATTGATTTGCTGAAACCAATAGCTAACTGTATTCATGAACTATGTATTCACACAGTTCTACGTTTTCCCCCAAAAAACCTAGTTCAATTTCTCCTCTATGTTACCTTTCCCGTTTGAGGTATGGCATTTTTCATTATCCTAGCCACATTGGCAATTGGAAGATATATATCTTGTTCTCTGAAACTTTCTTTTGAACCATTTGTGTCTTCATGATCATTCATGCTGTCTTCAGTATCTAAAGAAATAGAAACAATTTATGTGTAAAGCTTCTCATAATTTTTACTTCAAGATAGAAAGACTACCTGAAACAATCCAGAATAAGAACCATTTTGGTTCATTTCCTAATCCTTTTTAGGGATTAGGATAGCAGTTATTTTCACAATTTTCACAGCGCCAGAAATGAACTTACTCAACTTAAAAACCATCGCCTAGAACTATTTTATGCTCAGCTATGCCTACTGAAATCCTACCTACCACTCACGAAAAAGTTCAAATAACAAATCCATAGCAGCTTCAAAAGTGATCTTTCTTTTCATAAAATACCACAAGTGCTTCTCTGTACCTTTTATCTGACATATTTTATAATTCTTTTTATTTATCGTTTCCCCTATTAGATTTTTGCTACTTGAAGCCAGGGATCAGATTTGTGTTTCCTAGGACTTCATATAGCTCCTTCCAGAGAACAGGTGCTCATAATATTTACTGCATGACTTAGCTATAAAACTTACAGACTATAACCTGTGGCTCTTTGAATACTGCTAGATTAGGAGGTTATCCAAAACCAAATTTATATAAAACGTGCTATATAAAGTTGCCATATAAAGTTATATATATAAACTTGCTATATAAAGTTTATAAAATTCTATACAGAATGGAAAAACTAGACCTGAAATTACTGACCTGACTGGATTACTAATGTAGTAACTAATTTTTGAACAAAGCTATAGCAGTGATCCAACTATTCTTACAAAAAATGAATTTGAAAAAATTATATAGATTTAGACATAACTAAAGCTTTCACATTACTAATAACATCCTATTATGAGTAAAGGCAGTATCTTGTAAGTAAACTTCCCAGTCCTTATATGTACTCAATAAGCGAGGCACTCAAGCTGATTCAATTTACATTTTGATGTGTTTAAAATGATGTTATCAAAATTAATTTATTTGAATATCTGTTTTAGGATGAAATAACTAATATCTCCCCACCCCCGCCCCCAATTGCCTTCTAAAAATAAAGTCAGCCCTCCGTGTCCAACCATATCTGTGGATTCAGAACTGCAGACTGAAAATATTTGGAGCAAAAATTGTGTCTCTACTGAACATGTACAGATTTTTTTTCCTTGTCATTATTCCCTAAGCAATATAGTATATAAACTATTTTACACAGCATTTACATTGTATTAAGTATTATGGTAATCTATAATACTAAAGATATCTATCTAAAGGTAATTTTAAATTTACAGAAGGAGTACCTAGCTTACATGCAAATACTATGGCATGTTATTATCAAGGATTTAGGCATTCTCAAATTTTGGTATCTGCAGGAGGTCCTGGAACCAATCCCCCAGAGATACCAAGGGAGGGCTGTATATCTTAATTAAAAAAATAGATCAAAATGCCATAAAAGTAAATTATTTCTGATAAGCCAACATAATACTACCATTCTAATACTTGACACAGTTTACATCTAATACTGAATGAAAAACAAAAATGTTTGCATCTAAGAACAAGAAATATTATAGCTAACAATTTAACTAACCCTCTGAAGAACTATTTTATCATATCAATTGAATGAGAATTTATCAAATTTAATATTTAAATAGGAAATCAGAAATAAATTTTAAAAGAAACTGTACTACAAATTTTTAAAAAGGCATATTTTTATAGTAGAATTCTCTACGCACTGCTACAGTGCGCCGCTTGGGAGTGTGGTGGCGCTCCCGCCGAGGGTTCGGATCCCGCATGCGGACCGGCCGCTCACCGGCTGAGCGAGGTGCGGGTGCAGCGCCGAGGGTTGCGATCCCATTGCCGGTCCCGGTCCGGTACGGGCGCGACACTGAGGGTTGCGATCTGTTGCCGGTCACGAAAAAAGACAAAAAGGAAAAAAAAACAAACAAACAGCTTTCATACTACTTCTAAAAGAATTAAGCTAGTGTAAAACAGAGGAGATGTTGCTATAAGAACCTTCACCTTTTTTTTTTTTTTTGTGACCGGTAAGGGGATCGGAACCCTTGGCTTGGTGTCACCCGCACCGTGCTCAGCCAGGGAGCGCACCAGCCATCCCTATATAGGATCCGAACCCGCGGCGGAAGCGCCTCTGCTCTCCCAGCGCCGCACTCTCCCGAGTGAGCCACGGGGTCAGCCCTGAAGACTATTTCTAATAAAAATAGCATGGTACACCCTATTAGACTTTCACTGAACTATGACACTAATTTTCCTGTAAAGACAAATATAACCTAGAACATCATATTAATAAAATTTCCACTTTCTAACTCATTCTACTTGTGATTTTAGTTCTAACTGCAGCTTTCTTACCATCATGAGGCTGTATAACATAATGACTTCCTCCAATGTAGTCTGTGGAAATTCCTAGTTGAGAAGCATCTGTTGTAGAACTGTCACCATCCATCTATGAAGAAAAAGAGTTTTTAAACATTCTTCAATAAAAGTTGTACTAAAAACATAATAGATTCAATGCTCATAAACTGTCATAGAATGGGTCAATTACGTTTTCATAGCCTTAAGCTACTAAAAGAAAACATTTATATTTCTTGAATTATTGATTTCAATAATTTGCCTACTACTCAAGATTCCCCCATCCATCTTCCGTAAGTGCTAAGCACAGGCCAATAGGGAAACAAAATAAGGAAATAAATCTAAAGCATACCACTCTTTCTTTTCGATTGCATAACCCTCAAATATAGTATAGGCAAAATTGACCTACAACTTAATTTATCCCTGTAAAAGCCAAAATCAGCTTAGTAGTCAACTGGATGTCACCTGTACCTATCACCTTCACCTCTCCTGCTAAAGCCTGATATTCCTATGCAAACCCTTTTGATCCTGCTGCAAACTTTCTCCGCGGTCTCACAGAAGTTCCAAAACAATGTCTCAATTCAAACTTTTGCTTAGTATAAAAAGCATGTGGATTCCCTGCACAATTCTGTACCCATACAGTCAAGAGTGCACCCACGTTTTGAATGTGCTCATCACCTCTGATTGTAGTCAAAGGTTAAGTTTCCCTTTCCCCCAATCCTCAAACTGGTTGTTTAAAGAAAAAAGAAGAGGAGAAATCAGGGAGATTGGAGATCTGCATATAGAGATAGGAAAATTATAACCAAAAATGAGAATTAAAATTACTGTTTTAAAAGAAGACTGCCTAATTAATTCTGCTTAGACCTAAAAGAATTCCAAGAGGGAAAATCTGGAAAAAAGTGAGCCACAAGCCCTGCAATGGCTCCATTCAATTACACCAATGTGGCAGATCCTGGAAGACTTTCTGCTTTGCAAATACTACTATGCAAAACAATAAGAGACTGGCTATTTGTGAGTGGAAAAATTAAAAATGCATTATCCGAATAAAAAGTGTAACAAAAATTAAGTGCAATTCATATTTGCTTTCAGGCCGAACAAAGAAGAGACACTTGATCCTAAATGTTTATTAAGGCCCAGGACCTAGCAGAAACTTAATGTTATTAATTGCAATATTTTAGTCCTTACATAACACATTTTTTCTCAATCTCTGTTGGATTTTTATCTAATACTAAAATACTGGGCTAGTTGCCAAGTCCATAACATGGCATTTCTTTCATGCATCTGTTGACTGTGATGTCTAATTAAACTGCAATTATAGATACATTTCCGTAACTTATATAGTTGTTTTAGGAGGGTAGAAAATAAAATTCATATACCTTTAATAATCTGTGAAAGCACAGGGTACCTATTTATTGGTACTCTTTAGTGGCCTCTAAGAGGTAAACAATAAAGTCAGTGAGTTGATTCTGACTCCCCTACTACTCCCCTGAAAACAAGCATCCCTACCAGTAAAATGCATTTCTATATAAAACGGAAATAACAATGCCACCCTCCACATCTTAAACTAATACAAATGAAAGTGAAACATTACCCAGATATAAAATGTTATTTTGACCCTAAAATGCTAACAAGATACTAGGAGAATAGCCTTTAATGGACACAATTATGAATATATGAGCCATGAAAGAATGGTCAATTAGGGTAGCTATGAGTCCACTAGTTTTTACAATGTCCTAAGAAGATCAAGGTGCAGTAGACAGGACCAAAGAGGTTGTTTCAGAACTTACAACTAGAAACAAATTTTTTTTTTTTTTTTGGGGGGGGGGGGGGTGAAGGAACCGATAACAGAAATGCTTTGCTGAAAGGATATCCACAGGATATCATAAGTCTTTTAATATTAGCTGATGAGAAGGACACTGTTCAAATAACCAGGTGAATCTGGGAGATGAATTAATTTATGATTATTACATAAAAGTATCAAAGGCACAAATCATATTATCTTGACCTGCACTGGAATTAGCAGCAAAATTATCATTTGGATTAATAGCATTAGGCTCTCTAAACCTCTGTCTTCTAAACCTGAAGAGTTTAGAATTAAATAAAGACTACAAAGATGCTAAGGACAGCATTTGGCATGTGGCATAGTCTATAGACATTAGATCTCATCCTCCTTCCTAAGAAGAGAGACCACATTTCATCTGCTTAACTGTGTCTTTGGTTCTGCAAGTTTTAGCTTTTCTGTCATTTCACACCTTCTGTCTTCCTCTTCTCAATTTACCATTAAAATCCTGCCCCAGCCTTTAATCCCAACATTCCCTATCCTCCTGGAATCTTTCTGATTTATCCCATTCTGCAATCCAAAAACTAATGTTCCCTTCTTTGAAGCCAAATGGCACTCAGAACCTTTCATTTAACAAATCGGCCTAATCTTTGATGCTTACAATATTCTAGCCACACTCCTATATAAAAGAAATGATGGAAAAAACTTGCTGGATATACTGCAAAGGTTTTTTTCTCGAGGTCTAAAACTTCCCATAACAATTTACAAAACAGACTGTTGATCATAAGTAAGCCAGCCAACAAATATTTACTGAGTGAGCACTTAGTATTTATCAGGTCCGTGCTATGTACTGGTCACATAGCAGTCAACACCACAGACAAGGTCTCTGTCCTCATCTTGCAGACAAGACAAATGTTATGTAACCTGGGGGGCAAGGTGAGGGGGTAGATAGCTTAGCCTATTAGTACTTCCAGGACACAGGTTCTGGAATTAAATCACCTAGTTTTTATTCCCTCAGACTTAACGGCCTTGAGACCTTGAGCAGGTTGGATGAGAATAGGTCTTAACATCACAGGGATACTGCACAGCTTAGAAGATAATCCATGTAAACACAGCATCGTACAATGGGAATACTCAATAAATGCTATATATAGCTATTAAATAATTACAAATAATTAACTAATTGCTAGTGCCAAGTACTAAGAAAAACAAAGATGTTTTGTTATGTGCTATGTGAACTTATTCCAAAAGAGACCTCACTAGTCTGAGGGGTCAAGGAAGGCTGTCTTAGGAGATGACATTTAAACTGATATTGAAAGATAAATAGAAATCAGTTAGGCAAAGACAGGTAGGAAAAGAACATTGAGGGCAAAGGAAACTGAGAAATAACAGTACTGGTGGACTGGAAAAAGATAAGTAGGGGCTAAATCAAGCAGTGCCTTGTGCACAAGAACAAATCAAAGAACAGCTTTAAGCAGAAGGGTGCAGATCAGATTTCTTTTTTAAAGCATTACTCTGGCTACAGCCCAGAAAATGGCCTGGAGGGGAACAAGAACAGGGACAGAAGTCTAGTGAGGAATAGAACACTGCAGTTAGGGCACGAACTCAAGCAAGAGGATGATCACTCCCAGCATGTGCTCCAGGGTGACAGCACTGGAAATTAAGAGAAGCAGGGTGACCAGAGGGCTTTTTAGCAGGTAAAACCAACAGGACTTGGTGACTGACTAAATAGAGCTAAGGAAGGGCTGAGGATAATGCTGGGATTCTCATGGCCAGGGAGGCAGACAGCTGTCACTGCAGAGAATGGGAGAGGAAAGGAGTGAGTGTTGGGCAATGCACAGAGCCTAGCCAAAGCCGGTGACCATGAATTGACAGTGGTTCCCATATGTCCAGTTGTGACACTTACAGGCCTGGTATAAGACTAGAGGAGCTAAAGTGTTGGATTTCATCCAGGCAACAAAGAGCATGGGGGATGATGACAAGAGAATGGTAAAATGATAAATCATTAGATCCATGGGAATTAGTAAATATAGACAAAGAGTAGTTAAATCCCATTAAGTTCATTTTAATGACTCTTCTAATTATTTAGTTTAACTGATAGCATCATTCTCCAAAATATTATGCGAAATAAATTGTCAGCTGGCTAAGCTAATGAATTTTTATTCTTTTTTCTTTGACGTAGCAATATTTAAACTATGCTAATAATTTGTTGCATAAATACAGTAAATAGTGCCCTCCTACATTTATTACAATATGTTTACATTTATTGAACACTTTCTAAATATCCCAACAATGTTCACAACCCTGTGAAGCAGATGAGAAAATTGAGGTATATGAGGCTCATGATTTGCCCAAGGTGAAATAGTAAATGGACTGAAATTCCGAGTCTCAGATGCCGAGTACTTACAGTATTCATTCCTAACAGTTTTTCCTGTATTTGCCCTCTCTAAATTCTAAGTCTATTGATTATATATTGAAAACACTTAAAGTAGCTTCTGAAACAAGGGTAATATTTGTGAAATGGTTAAGAAACACATTCTGGACTGTGGTTAAAAACAATAACTCTTTGGAAAGATTGCCTGGGTTTGAAGCTTGGCTCCCCATTTACAAGCTGTGTCTTTGAACAAGTTACCTTCCTCTTTGTGTTTCAGCTTTTCCGTTTTTTTTAAATGGGGTTGCTATGAGAAGTTATTGTATAAAAAGCACTTAGCAAAGTGCAAGATATGTAGCGAGAACTCAGCAAATGTAACCTGGCATTATTGTTGTCCCTTCAAATACAGTTGTCATCGTTCTTTCCAGGCGCAAAGTTTTCTCTCTCACATAACTCATCCATTTACCTGTTGGATCACATTCCTTTTATCTCTTTGAGGACATGAAAGAATACAAGGACTCCTCATCTCTAATGCATCTTCAGTCCTCCTTACCAGCTCCTTCACTCTTCCTTAAACATCCTTAGTCTCCCCTCATTAAAAACACAGAAGTACCCACAGATACATCGAATCTTAATTCTGCCCCATACTGTTGTCTAGTATCATTCTTGCCCAGACACAGTCATTAGACACCTCTTCATTCCTATTTAAACTCCCTGACATGTGCTTTTTAACTCCAACACAATACTGAAACCACTCTTAAAGTTGCCAACAATCTTGTCTGCATCCTATTTGGCCTTTCTTTGTAGTGCTGGCAGCTACTAGCACCATATTTATGCTTGGAATTCTCTTCTCCCTTGATTCCAAAGCAATATTCTTTCCTGGTTTATTTTTTCCTCCCCCCTCCCTAATTGCTAGTTTCATCCAAGGTTATTGTTTTCTCTTTCTTCCCTTACTCTCTTAATGAACTCACTAAATATCCCTTCTTGCTCATAAACCCCAAATCTACAACTGATATCCTGCCTACCACTCAAGCACCCCATGCCTGTAGAACATGTCTGGTATCTCCTCACTGCAAACTTAAGATGTTGGGAAATGAAACCCACCTTCTCCCATCCCCTGCCAGGGAGCAACAAGGGAGATTTCCTTTTCAACTGCTGTGATCCTATTAAGAACACCATCCTTTTCACTCTTCCCGACTAAATATACAAAGGTACTTCAAAAAGTTTGTGGGAAAATGGAATGAAAAGATAATACAAATCTTTCCACGAACTTTTTTTTTTTGTCTTTTTCTGTGTCCGGCAACGGATCGCAACCCTCAGTGTCGCCCCCGTACCGGACTGGGACCGGCAACGGGATCGCAGCCCTCGGTGTTGCTCCCGCGCCTCGCTCAGCCAGTGAGCGGGAACCGGGAACCGGTCTGTATGTGGGATCCGAACCCTCGGCGGGAGCGCCACCGCGCTTCCCAAGCGGCGCACTGTAGCAGTGCGCCACCAGGCCGGCCCCTTTCCACGAACTTTTTGAAGACCCCCTCAAACCAGCATCATCTCAGAATCTTCCATCTCCTTTAAGCTCTACCTACTCCATTACCACTTTTAAACTGTCTCTGGATATGCCCTTCCTCTTCTACTTCCACTGGATTACTACCCCACCCACCTTAATGTATTGTTTTAAGACTAATCTTACTACAACACTGCTTCTATAGTTCTTGAACCTATTCCTAAAGGTTCCTAAAGGTCTCCTGCACCAAATCCAAAACTCATTTTCATGGCTTTACATGAGCAGACCCCCCCTCCTAACTAAATTTGTTTCCTACTCTTCTCTATCTTTAGGGCTGATAAAAATCTTAGTGCTAGGATGTGCCTTACTTATGGTTCACTGAATGCAGTTCTTTCATTTTAGGAGTGAGGCAACCATGGCTCAAAGTTGTGACATGCTGGAGGTCACAGGTATAGTAACAGATCCAGAACTAAATATCCAGACAGGCCAAGTGGTATCCTTCCATTACATTATCCTGTGAAATCTCCACTTAGACCATGCACCTCTATTCCTCATCCCCTAAACATGTTACTCATTCCTGTGTCCAGGCTTTTGGTGATACTCTCCACCTATCTAGATCCCACCCATCCTTCAAGGTTCAGTTAGAGGCATATAACATAGGCTCCCTCCTCCACATTCCCAATTACCCAGGACCACCACACCTCTCTTCCTTCCACCTGTACTGCATTTACAGTCAGCAGTTTCCATTCAGCACATAATTGTCCTCTAAGTGTTCGATTCAACTAAAGCCCTACCAGCAATGTTTACCCTATAGCCTCAAAAGCACTTACGGGCCCCAGGGAAATGCTTAATACATGCAAGTAACTGAAAATAAGGAAGCAATGGGAATGAGCAGAGACACTGTCTGTCTAGAGTTGAAAGGCATTCATTCAGGAATCTCCAATATAAATCAGTTATGATTTTGTTTCCAGCCAATTACTGTTCAAATCTAATAACCAAAATGGTAACACATACTTACTGTCATGAAATACTGTCAGAACTGTGTTGTAAGTGGTGCTCAAGAACAACTGGCTAAAAAGGTGTCGAATCTTTGCCCAATTGCAACCTAAAAGATAAACATCTCTCAGTAGTAAAAAGATTTTTTTCAAAAAAAGCCTACAGGCTTTCTTTCTAGTTAAAATTAAAGACCACCTATAATTTTGTCTATTCTTAGTCAATGGAGTGCATGGTGTAAAAAGCAGGCACTCAATAAATGTTTGTTGAACTGAAAGATTTTGGAGAACTTACAAAAAAGTTAATTCCATGAGAGGAGGGAAGTTGCTTTTCCATCATAACCCTGAATTTAGTCATGTTCATGATAAATATTCATCACAATACACCAAAAGGGGACCAGATTATATAATATGCAAGGGACCGAAAATCACACATCTAAACTATTTAAAATATTAACACCCAAGACACAAACACCCTACTTACCAACTTTTTTTTGGTGATGGTTTTCTTAATGTTTCAGAGCAAGAGTGAGGTGTTCTAAAGCTCAAAAGGGGAAAAATGTACCTCTGAATATAATGCTTTTAAATTAAGTATCTCAGATTATACTGGAAAGAAGATATATGCTACACAGAGAACATAAAAAAAACAACACTATCAAGACCCTTATTTATAATTTTGAAGCACCACCATTTTGGACCAAAATTGCATCTGAATAGCACTAAAGTCTCAGTGTAAGGCATAAATAGCTGAATAAATGAGTATCAATTGCAATGTTACAACCTTTTCTCATTTGCTCTTTTTCTTTTTTCAAATGAAACAATTAAATGGCGATGGGGGTGGGGGGAGGCCAAAACATGTCCTTTCAGTGTTAATTTAAAGGGAGAAGAAATACTGATATGCACTCAAGCATGAAATCTAGTAAATAGCAGAAAAAACTGTAACCACTGAATTGAATTTTTAGAATGTCATTAAATGTCCAGGCAGCAAAGACTGTCTGACATCTGCTATAGTATTAAAAGTAATTTCTAATTTCTTTTCAAATAGTGTACTTTACAACCCCAGAAGTGCCCAGAAATTTCCTTCCCTGTAGCTAGAAATGTTATTTAAGGTTGTCTTTGAAAAAAAAAAAAAAGAATCCTAAGAACACTTAAAATATAGGAGCTATATATATATATTGGTAGGTATGTATTTTGCTTGGAATGGGGGATGGGGACGGGAGCCACACCACACCACAGCACAATCACTCACGCACAGTTCAGTCAGTATATATTTAGATTCAATACACTAAAGAAAAACAGTATCACCTCATATGGTATATATTTTCTTAAGGGCAGGTTATGAGATATGTAAAAGCTCAAGGGAATGCATACATCTGTTTAATGTTTGAAGAAATGCAAATCTGTATCCAAGAAAAGCAGTCGTCCCTTCATCCACCCTTCCATTCTTTGGCAGCAACAACCAGAGTTTTGCATCAATATACAGTAATCCTTAAATTAAGCTACAAGAGCAGTGCAGTGGGAAAATAATTGCCTTTTAAGGAATTCTCGTTAAACTTTCAATACTTTACAAATAAGACCCCATTTTTAACGCCACTGATATGCTTAGTATATCTCATCACTTTATGTTGCTGATTAGTTTCTGTACTAAGAGAGCTGAAACCACCCATGATTGTGTTACCATGCAACTATGGAGTCCATGCAGGTTAGTGGAATGCCACGTTTTTTAAAAGGTCGCAGGCTACCTAGCCGTGTTTAAATTATCTTGTTAGAGTACTTTGGGCGAGATTACGATTTGTGGGTGCTCCGTAATTCTTTGTTCTCGGAGAGGACTGTTTTTAAGGCCCTGCATGTCCTCCCGCCTCCTACCCGCGATGATTAAAACCTCAGTCCAATCCGAAAGGCTTCCTTCCCACCTTCGGGGCAAGTCCAGGGACCGCAAACCGCCAGATGGCTGCATTCTTTACGTGCAGACCAAACTGCGGGGACACCAAGGCCATTCCTTCCTCCCCACGTAGGTGCCCGGGGTGGCCCCGGCCCCACGGCCCGGTCCCGCCGACCTGTCAGTCCCGCATGTCCCGGCGGGCGCCCCTGGCACGCATCCCCCGGACTCGCCCGGCCAGCCCCGGTCCCCGAGCCCAACGCCTGCCTCCCGCCCGCCGCGCAGCGCCC